GTAGAAAGTCATAAGGAAATCGGTGAATCAGGCTTTTGTGTCATCGTTGTAGAGCACGGTGTGTAGCGAAGATTTCGTTGATATCGTCTTATCCCGGACGATAACCTGTCTAGCTTGGTCTGGTGAGAGGCTTTCGCTAGCAAAGCGGTTCATATAGAAGGCAGCAAATTTGAATGAAACAAATCTGCACAACAAATCGGTTTTGACGATAGACCCGTTTGGATCTCAGCTGAATATGTCATTGATGATGTTCTTAAGCAACTAAATATGCTGCTCCAGGCCGCCTCATGTATCAGTTGTCACTATAATACAACTCATAGACGTAGTGCGCTACTCATAAGGTTGCTGAAAACCCTCTACAGCCCACGGTCAGTCTCCCACTTGTTCGTGCCCATCAGGTAGGCGCAGTCCGAGTTTCCGTCAACCTCGTGCTCTACTTGAACCCGAATTGCACGAATTTTGACTGGTACACTCATCTGCATACCAACTTGACTTTGACGGTTGACTCGCCCGGCTGTCGACGAGTGATCTTTGAGGAGCACAGTCATCTTTGTAGAAGAGGACCCATTTGTATATGGGGAAGCATGCCCCTAATGAGATTAAGCTGCTCAAAATGCTCCACTATCCTGGGACTTTTTTTCGCTGATGTCTGGAGTGTTTCCGACAGAAATGGTGCGTAAAATGAGCTGAGAAAGCAATTGTCTCCCGTAAAAGACCAAGTAATCTCGCATAGTCACCGGCATCTGACACAGTTTCCAGACTGGTCCCCACCTGATCCACTAAGGGTCTCGGCCTTTCTGCCAGACTCTTTGGCTTGGCAACCGAATATTCGGTAGTTTGACGCGCTTGCCAATATCATCTTCTTAGTTTGGCTTGAGAACCGCGAGGTGATATTCGACATCCAGGGTTTCAATCGGTTTGGCGCAGTTCCTCGTTGACCAATGGCAAAATCTGGAATCGTACCTACCACACTCCACCACTGACCCTATCAAGCACTACAGAGCAGGCTTTGGATAGTCCGAGGGTCTTGTCGGACAGAGATCGCCGCCCATTGGAGAAGTATATCAGATTGGCTATCAGAAGCAGCCCAATGTTTTCTGGCTACATACACTGATTCTTCCTTTCTGTAGGAGTAGGAAGCCTCAATGCATCAATCTAATCTGTATGCCACCAAGACGTAGCCAGTTCGGTGAGCCGTGTGACCAGTTTTCGAGTTACTATTGCTTATAAGTTTTTGGAAGTGCGCAGTTGAAATGCGAAACCGATTGAAGCTGACAAAGTTAACGAGCCATTTTTCACACTAAGAACCGAGACCTTACTTTCCAAGAATGCTGAACTTTGAGGTCGAGGGATTCCATCCACCATCTTATACGAGCACGCGGTAGTCAGTCGGCAACCCGTCGTTGACATGCTGCTCAGATTCAACTGTCCGCGTGACGATGATTTCGAACGGTAAACTTCGAACGGAAACCTGTCAGTGGAATTTTTGAGCTGGTAGACTTGAATGCCAGTGGCATAAGTTAAACCAGATTATCGATCGCAACCGTCTTAAGGACCCCTGTACTGGAGCCAGAAGCTGTTGTGTGTTCTAGAAACTTGGATTCTACAGCGGCCATGTCCAGTTAAACGGGCTTCAGATAAACAGGTTAAATTGACCGCATGCTGGTGAAGGGCGCGCATATTATTTGTCTATGACTGAGCTTCTTTGCAGCTTGTTTTCTGGTCAACTCAGCCACTGAGAAGGCCGAAGGTGTATCGCCTAACGGGGACGCTGTAGCGTAAGGAGTGCCCTTGGAGGGACATATCATGAAGCTTTCTGAGAATTGTTACGGATTGCCTTTCCAGTAGGACCCGGGGAGAAAAGCTTTCAGTGGAATCAATCGACCAAAGCTACAACACCCACTTGGTTTGAGATTTGAACATCATTTCTGCATTACTCATAAGGTTGCTGATGAATTTTCAGCGACTTTATGAGTAGTGCATTACGAATGTACGTGTATCGCGACATATCGGATATCGTAGCGACTGAAACATGAGGTGGCCTGGTGCTGCACATTCAGTTGCCTGATAATATCACTAACGAGAGATCAGTTGGGTTCCAGGTGAGTCTGTTGAAAAACAAAATTAGTTTGCAACTGAGTGTATAATCGCTGATTTCTTGCAATTTGGAATCAATTAGAACATAAGGTCGACGGAAACTCGGGGACTGCGGCTACTTGATGAGCCCGTAGTGGAAGGGTGAAACCGGTCGTGGGCCGTCGAGGAGTCTTCAGCAACCTTATGGGTAGTGCGTTACAAAGGGTTTAGCCAGTTTTTCTACACGGGAAACTAGTGAACAGTCAGTTTTCTCATTGTACGAGACATCCGCTGCTGCCCTCTTACCTTGTTGGAAACAACTCCGCCACAAGAAAACAGTGAACAGAATTCCTTCAGCGGAGACTGCATGATAGCATGTCGTTTGGAGGCATTTCGGGCGATGCAAAGATGACGCTACGCTTTTCCCAAGCAACCAACGCCCTACCGTGCTGAGACATCACATTCAAACTTCATCGGTTTCGGTCAGCGCTGCCGCTATTCGATGCCCAAACAGCTTATGCTGTGAGCGCATCTTATGGACCAAGCTCACTCGTCAGTCGGTTGGGGGAATTCGGGAGATTCCACCCTTTGAGTGAAGAGTCGAGTAGTTTCGAGGAATAAAATTAACCGAATGAGTGAAACTTTGATCTGAGAATTCGTCACTCGAGAAGCCAGTCAACACGTGTGACCACGTGAGGTGGACCCGGATTTGAAGGGTGACTGGTGATATATCCTGTCCAACTGAAAGCGAATCACACGTAGGTTCAGCAATTCGCAGTCGGACAATTGAGTCTTTAAACTACTAATGTAATGGCGATACTACTGATGGGGAGACATGCGAGTAGTATTCTTTCTGCTTTAGATTCACTTTGCGTCTCTTGAAAAGGGAGGTCTGTTGCGGAATTTGTGGAGTCGCTTTGTGGCATTTGGTTGGATTTGAGAATGAATGATTTGAGTCAGTGAATATCCAGGAAATTTCAGGAAGACGCGTTCAAGAGCAGATGTATGTTCAGTTTTTGTAACTAAGATGCAAATGAGAGTTTCACTTCCCTGTCCAATAGTCTGTAATCGGTCAGTTGGCATTTTCCAATAAATAACTCTGCAGCGAGGGCATTCCTTTCACTAGTAGTGGGGGTGTCGCCGGTTCGTAACCTCCCGAAGTTTCGTAAGACGTGAACTGCTGATGATCTGCGGTAAGAATGAGACGGGGGTACAGTGCTTCGGGCTTTTCAACTGTAGGTCGAACTCACTTAAAGGACAAATTCTTCAGAAAGAGCCTGATAGTCGGGCGGGCTGATGCAGCAACTCTGCTGATGTTAACAAGCGTTTGTTGCGACAGCCAGCTTGCATATTCTGTCTAATTGCACCCAGCGCCACAACAAGTACATGAGCTATTTCGGAAAGCCAAAGACTCTTCTCGGTACTTTGTCTTTGAGGGGACTGTCGCGTCCGAGCAGCCAGCTTTGCCTCACTTTGCGAGATCCTTCCATACGACAGAGCAATATGCTAAAGGGATCGGTTTGTGGCCGGTTTCTTTCATTGGTCAGTTCGAATTTGGAGATCGACTACTGTTAGGTTTTGGGGTTTACTGGAGTTGGAACCAGTTGAGCATATCGGAGATGGAAAGGTTTTGCGTCGCCGAACATCAATCTCCTCCAACGGTAATTTCCAAATTGACATATATCGAATTACAGGTGAAAAAAGCTGGTAAAGGACCTTATCTGGAACTGGGTATAAACATAGAGTGACAGATATAATCTCAAATAAGACGAAAGGAGAAAACGTTAGACTCCGCAACACTGGAAGACACCGTTAATCCCAGTAAGAGCATGTATAGGTGTTCTTGGTCCGACTTCGTTAGTTGCACAGTGACGCTATCCAACGTCAACCTGGACAAAGATTTCCGGACATCATTTGACTACACGACAAAAACTGTGGGGGGAAATTTTGCCTTACGGATTTCAAAGATTCTTCACGCGTTAATCATCACTGCGGTAGTTGGTTGTGACTCACAAATGGATCATGTTGTACAATTCACCCCCACATTGTTTGGCGCCATTCCGTGTATCTACGTCCAAGCTGAAAAGATGTACAGATCTCGGCACCCAGGACTTGTTACCACGGCAGATGTACACAAGGCGTCTTGACAATGTCATTTTGTGAATGATAATCTGGAAAACTCTCTGCTACCTACAATTTTTTATAGTTTTGTTTGAAAAAAGCCCTGTTCCCACATCAGTCTCCTGACTGACCAGTACGACGCTGAAGATGACACGGAATTTAGGAATTTCACAAATCCCGCATCAGTTTACCTCATGTTGTTTGGCTATACATCACCGCTTAGAATACGTACTTGTTTCTATCGTCATTCCGTACAATACAATACAAATTAACCACAAAGCAGTCAACTGTCTGTTTGCGTCAGGCCCTTTGCCCTTTCTCGGCAAAGTTGTTCGGAACACCGTACGAACAGGGCTCATGCGGTCAAGAAAATGATGTATTTGAATCAGAAAAATATCGGAAATAAGACACATAAAAAAGCGCGAAACCAGTCGTTATGAGTACACGGTTGGGCAAAATTGGCGCAATTTCGCCCTTCTTTGCCACAACCACTGATGTTTGATCTGACGACGTTCCGGTCCTTGGAATCACGCCCTTAGTATCATACACATCAGCATTTTTGATGATTGATGTGGAGTTGAGCGCTGAAGTTGTTGACGTTGACTCCATCCACCCAGGTCCTGAACAGAGGACAAAAAAAGGGAAGGCACGCTGAGTTTTGTGTCAAACTAAACTCACAAGCTGACAAAGCATACAAGAACTGACATGATGTTATTGACCGCTAGCTTCATTGCGCTAATAGAAATCTGGCCAATAAGAACTATCGATAACGACGAAAGTATGTAACAATATTCAGCATACAAATAAACCCCTCAACAAGGAGTACTCACGAGAAAGACTCATAATATTAATTCGCCTTTCTTGGGGCTCATTCAGCTACCTGGAAACATCACAAACGAGAGATTCAGCTGGGTTCCAGGTGAGTCTGTCGAAAAACCGAATTAGTTTGCAAATGAGTGTATAATCGCTAATTTCGTAATATCTGGTTTCAAGTAGAACATAAGCTTGACGGAAACTCGGGGACTGTGCCTAGCTGATGAGCCCGAAGTGGAAGAGCGAAACCAGTCGTGGGCTGTCGACGAATTTTCAGCAACCTTATGAGTAGTGCATTACAAAAAATATCACAATGTCTTCAAGTGCAAGCCTGTCCTCTTGATGCGTATAATGTTGCTACAATAACCACCTCAATAACTCCACTTCAGATGAAAAAACTTTCTGACAGAGGTGTTTCTTCAATGCGATGTCCCGTAGAGTGAGCACCCATGCAAGCATTGTGGAAGGGATGATTTTGAGCACCTGAGTGAATCTCCGAAAGGAAATTACCGAGTGAAAAACGCACCTATTCTGTTGCCCAAACCCCAATGGATTTGAGTCAAAACCATAGCTGATGAACGAACCCTGCCGGATTTGATATGACTTATCCGACAGCTAAGCCTTGGGAGTAGCTCCACTGGGAGGCAAGCTTTGCAGTGGTGATGCGGAGTCGATCTAATGAAACTGACAAGTACGGTTAAGCTGTCACATGAGAATGCATATGTCTTCTTTAGAATAATCGCTCTTAATTGAGTTCGGCTTGACGAAGTCGCTAGTTTCTGAGGATAAAGGTAACCGGTCCTGATGAACATTACACAGGTTGACCATCTTGCGTTAGTAGGTGTCAGTTGAGCATTTAATAATAGCTATAATCAATTCAGTTCGAACAAAGCAAAAAATACTATCTCGTGCTTAAGAAATCATCGTGATAATCATCGACAGCATGACATCAGTATTCAACACCGATGCCGTGCTTAAGACAGCCCTTTGACGGACCTGAATACCAGTGGCACTTCGGTATTTCAACGCATTAGTCGTGTGATAGATCGTTATTCCTTGACCTTCAACAAGACAATACTTCTCATCGAGGAGGCATTTTAAGAACCCCCGTAATTCCTTACTTACGAAAGAGGATGCCATCAGCTGAGTTCCATCTGATGAGACCAACTAAGATAGATGCAGCTGAATCCTTGATGGTTTCTTCCGAGTTACGATACGGTAGTCTACATATTACGGATAAACCGACAAAAAATGGCCATTTTATAGAAATTGGGTTCTGTTAGCTGATCTGCCATTCGTAGTTGACAAGATACTACGAATATGGAGGCAAGCAATACTGTTACACCTTCCTGGATGTTCCATCCATTGTTTACGGATGGTATGCGCAAATACCAGGGCTGTTTGACTAAGAAATCCTGAGATTTAAATAGCACGCAGCTGTGTCTCAATTGCTCATAGAAAAATTCATGCTAGGATGGAACCAAAAGCGTTTTACCGAAATGTAGGTCCTGATGAATTCAGTCCGGTGGTGGTATGTCGCTTAGTATGGATGCCAAACTAACATAATGTACTGTAAACTTGGATCTACTGACCTTCTACTGACCGGGAGGTCCGTGGTTCGAACCCAACTTCTGCCTCTCGACTTCCCCTGTCTAGGCTTGGGCAAACTGGCAGTATGCCAGCCCTCGTGCCTCCTTCGTGCGGCATGGCAACTAGGCACCGAAAGAGCGCTACATCTGAACGATTTAAATTTATAGATTTAAAATTGGATGTCCTAAACTGCGCACGTCTACAAGGATACGGACCACTTCAAGGCATGATCAAATGAAATCACTGAGTAACTAAATGTGATGTTGAACCCTCGGGAAGACATGTCAACCGGTTTGGTGGACAATAAAAGTTCAACGGGATCAAATCACAGAGAGTGGTTTAAAACGTACTCCGAGCACACGAAGTAGCCTCGTGCATTTTTGATATGGCCCATGTATTGTCACAGGGGTAGTGGCTCAGTTGTGACTGAGCAAGACACCTAAAAATGCGCTACCCAGTCTCTCTATAATAAAACGCATCGATTACGAATAAACCCAACACCGCAAGCTTAGTTCTGTCCTCACATTGTCCCGAACCACAAAATAAACTACAAAGTGGATGAATTATTGAATGATCCAGGAGTCACCGGTGTTCCAAAATTCAGAAGTTTCGTCTATTTTGCACTTCTAGGCATTTTATGTGCACTTCTGTCCGATTTCTTGTGGCTTTTAATGGCTACTGGATGACTAGCAGTCAAGGGAGAACCGGGTAACATGTCTCCGATGTCGCCATTTTCGAATGTCTATCTAAAGAGATCAGTTAACAACCTACAGAAAGGCAACAGCACTCTCAAAAGGCCCTTCATTTGCGGACTAGTCCTTCCCAGAGGATTTCTTCTCCAGGGGATAAAAGTGCACAGTGGAGAAGCAACAGACATTCCGAGGTTCAATCACACTTGGCCGAAGTATTCCGCTAGTGCATCATGTGACATTGACTGATATTTTAGTGGCCAATGTCAGTGAGAACACGTCCCGGATGCTCTGAAGATTGATCAGGATGAAGTGGTCCAGCATTGAACAGCGGTTGGAGTTTACATGTGGAAATGAAGGTGTATAAGAAGAGCTCTGCTACCGTGGTGCACATTCAATAAAAATCAATAAGTCAGTATTAGTAACTTAGTAGTTCTGCCAACTGCTAATATGGGATAAGGGTTACTCCACGCTTCTAGAAGACAAACCAAAAAACCCGAGGCAAGAAACCGAGGTCTTACCTGGTGTTTGATTAGAACCTGCTTCCTTGTTGAAAGTGATCGATGCTTGAGACTCGTGCTGCCCAGGTAGGAGGCAATCTTCGTCATCTGGGGAGCACCCACCAACCAAATTTGGTTCCATCACCGGTTTAGGTTGTGGAGAAGGCAAGTCGGGAAACACCGGTGGGAAGTTCATCGCTTCGTTCAGTGACTGTGGCAGACGAATCAACTCGTCTTCGGATTCTGGTGAGAAACCACTGGAATCGGGTAGATCAGGCCATGTGGGCAGCGAAATTTGTGAGGACGGGACGCTTTGATCTGGCTGAAGGATGGAAATACACAAGATACTACTGATTTCTACGTTTGACAAAATTTGGCCGGACCGCTTATCGATCATGGGCCGACCAACATGCAGCACAACGAGGAAGATTACGCAGAGAATAAATGAAATTTCAATGGATATTGATTACAGTCAATTAATTGATTCGTCTGTTCTGGAATCTTGCTTAAGTTCTTTCATCATACCATCACAAAAGATTAATTTCGCGAGATGATTAAAACTCTCATCTGAGAATTCGTCAATAGGGGATACAGTCTGTACTTACGATCATGTGATGTGGATCCCGTGACTGGAGGATGAGTGACACGATATCTTGTTTAAATGAATTTTAATCATATTTCCGATCAGCCGCTCTTGGTATTCGAACGGTTAAGTGATCAAACAATGCGCTGGAAGTCTGCAGATTCAGAACTCCCTGGAGTTTCCTGAGATGCGCACTGCTGACGATTTCCAATAAGGATGACGCGGCTGTGCAGTGCCTCTGGGCTTTTCAACACAAATAAGCCTTGCTGACATGACGAAATCTAGGTTGTGAGCTCATTCAGCTATAGTGCGCCCGCCCAAATAGAATTTACTGTCGAGAGTGAACGAAAACTTCCGCTACCTGGGGATTTTCACAATTCGAAGGGCAGCCAAGTTTAGTTGGAACTCATCCTCAATTCTTGATGCAATGGAACTCCTTTTTCAGGAAAACGAGGGAAGTTCTGCACGAAAAATAACCAAAGATGCTAGCAGCAGACGAGTTCTCCATGGTATCATCCAAACAGATGGCACGTGATGGGTTGTGCTCCTTCATGGAGGATGTTTGCCCAAACTACTGCGGGTGATGAATGAAGCTAAAGGTTTTTGTAATGCACTACTCATAAGGTTGCTGAAAACTCCTCGACAGCCCACGACTGGTTTCGCCCTTCCACTTCGGACTCATCAGGTAGGCACAGTCCCCGAGTTTCCGTCGACTTTATGTTCTACTTGAAACCAAGTTGCACGAAAGTAGCAACTAATTCGGCTTTGCGAGATGCTCCCCTGGAACCCAGCTGAATCTCTCGTTTGTGATATTTCCAGCCAACTGAATGTGCCGCACCAGGCCGCCTCATGTTTCAGTCGTTACGATGTTGGAGATATTGCGATACATGTATATTTGTAATACGCATTCAGTTGCCTGGAGATATCACAAACGGGAGATTCAGCTGGGTCCCATGTGGGTAATGCACTACTGATAAGGTTGCTGAAAAATCCTCGACAGCCCACGACCGGTTCGCCCTTCTTGGGGCTGAAGACACTTGAATGAATACATCAAATAACATCCAGGCCACACTTGAAAGCTCATTATTGAGTGTTCTGACGTACGTTTAGCGGGAGAGGTACGATGTACCCTGCTAACATTCCATTAGGCATGTAAGTTGCAGTAAGCTGTGCACAGTCACTGATCTTGTTTCGCTGTTTCAATAGGCCTCGAAAGTTTCGCATTGCATTTTCCCGTTTACATTTTCCACGATCTTCCAGGATGCCTCAAAACAGAGGTATTCCGCGTGAAACGGTTTGTGGCCGCCGACGGGTACGCGGTCTTCCAGTTCTTCAACCCATTTGGTTTAACTAGCTGTCGAAAGGAGCAAGAAGGATAAAATGTCTCATCTCCAGCAAAAAACTCGATAATTGTATAGCTTTGTATGGTCTTGTCAGCCCTACACCACACATAGATCAGCACAATCCTTTGCCGACCGTAACGCCGGCGCCATGGGAGTTTCAAATGCACGGGTTTGAAATGTGAACTTATTCATTTATTCAAACTACTCAGGTTTTCGTGAGCACTGTGATGTTAGTAGATTTTTAGTGGAGATTTCTTCGTGTAAGTCGACTGAAAGGCTAAGAATCACCGTAAATCTCTTTCATCCTTATTGGTCACCATCGGAAGTGTGCATCTCATGAAATTGTAGCTAGATTCGAACCCGAAACCGCCTGGCCAAAACCCTTAGGCGTTCCCGTGATTAGCTCGTACCCAAGCATGATATGGCACCACTAATTCACACAGTACACATCACGTGATCACGTGTTTACCGGCGCTTCGAGTGACGAATCCTCAGAAGGAAGATCGACTCGCGTGAAATATTCTTCCTTCTGATCTACTTACATCATCTTGTGTCTCCTCGGGCTAACAAAAGAGTGTAACTCGGACGGATAATCCCGGCCTTCAGCTGCCACTTTAACGTAGTGGTCGGGCGAGACCCCGTACTACGACTAATCGTGCTACGAGGCGGTCTGAGGGTCCTTCAGGCGACCAGTACGTCCACATTCATGGAAGCTGCTTTGTTGCGTTCCCTCGAGGAAGGACAGGTTAGAAAAAATCGCCCAAAGGTTGACCGTGACTGCCAGCGCATTATTCAATACGGTCAAAATATTTTTAAAACCAAAGAGTCCGGTGCTGTGTGCAGCTGCTCTAGAATTGGGACAGTAATGCCTTATTCTCTGCGTCCTCGGTCCAGGCCGGTCCCTACAGCGATCGCCTCCGGTCAGAATCCCCAAAGAAAACCCTACTGTTTGCTGCTTCGGGGGTCAGACTTTTGTGTCAAAAGCTCAAGGTAAGGTACTTCAACCAAACCCCCTTCCTAGGCCTGAGCAGCCGGGAAGTATCAGTTACCCGCGCAGTTCGGTGTCCACCAATGTCCCTCCCCAACCCCTTCCCATCACACAAGCAAACGTTGCTGGGTCATTTGATGACGGGACGCATAATCCGCAAGTTTCTCGAATCTTCCCTTTGAGAATTCGTCACTCGAGGAGCTAGTCAACACGTGACTCCGTGATGCAAATGCCGGTCAGCCTCTCGTGATCGAACAGTTTGGCCTTCAGCTATTAACCGGGAAGTTGCAAGTTCAAATCACCATAGTAATCCATGAGCTGTTCACCGCTGATGAGTCTCAGCAAAGAAAAAACACCTGCAGAGTGATTTCGGTCTTCTAGGATAGACTAACTTCACCTGAAGGATGAATTATCCATTGAAAACAATCGTCTTATCTCAGGAACGATCAGTCGCATCCGAGTGCTATCAAAAGCCTCCCACCACTTTCGGTTTCAGGGTAATTTTTGTCCAAACTTCCTTCTCCTCAAACTACTAAATGGATCCTTTATTATGTGGGCGCACGCGAAGATTGACTATTATTATACATCGATTTTGGTACGTGCCGATTTGGGAGTATTACCTGTGGGACCTGCATATTTCTTGCCGTTGGTTCCATGGGGTTGAATCGATCAGGGCAGGTTGTCATTCACAACAATTCAAGTTCATAGCCGAACGGCTTTACCAGACACTGTGACCTTCGAAGAAGCTGCACTTCGTACTGTTCAATAGTAGGGTAGCAGGGTCTTGATCGTACTGTTGCAAAATCCTCCTGGGTTTTTTTCGCAAACACTCACGAAGGTTTCTCGAAACGACCCGTGTAAAGGACGCAGCGACTGTTGTCACATGATTTCGTTTTAACCTTTTAAGTCATACGTACGAAGCGTCGCCTGTGTCGTTGTTCACCAAAACCGCAGGAAGTAGCAGCAAGTACTACAGCAAGTAGACGAAACTTTTGAGTAGTGTTTGGTCAGCTGTCAAAGCACCGTCCTAGCATCTGGTAAGGAAACTACGTTAGTTAGTGTTTAATATTCAAAGAAGGTCCAGGGACGTTTAATTTTTAACTACTTTCGTTCAGTTGTAGCACCCTTTCGGTGCCTAAATGCCATGCCGAAGGCAGCACGAGGGCTGGGATACTGCCAGGTTGCCCAAGCCTAGGTAGAGGAAGTAAAGTTGCGGAGGTCGGGTTCGAATCACGGACATTCCGGTCAGCATATTCGCGCTATAACCACCTGGACCATCTTGCTCTTGAATACTCTGTGCGAATGAGTTATTTACTTTCGTGTCTAACAGCTCTGCACTGAGACTTCACTTCCTTTCCTTGGCACGCTACTGTCTATGATGAGGATGATGCTCAGTCGGCATTCTGCGTCGCTCCTTCCCTATGCGGGACAAGTTCAATGATCCTCGGGAATGTTTTTTCCGCGGTGGCGTGGTCATATACATTCCGTCATCTTAAAAGCGTCATCCATCTCAGATTAGGAGACGCCTGGTTCTTCCCAAAGAAACCAAAACGTGGTCAGCTATCGAACGACTTGTAAAAGTCTCCTTTTTTGGTTGCGTTTAAAGTGCAAGGATAAGGAAACCGATTATGAGTTTTGGGCTACTTGTTTGAATGATCCCCGAGTCAAGCGGCTGCAGTTTGAGTAAACAGATCGGAGAACAGAGTCCAAAATGTGAACTAGAGTGTGTTTGTTCAGACAGTATGGGGTCAATATTCTTCCAGTGAACTATTTGATATGTCCCATTGAGGCTGCACACTCGACTCTCTTATTTCTTAAACATTTTTTCAACATCAAACACGGTGAGCATTCTGGTACTTTCCGCTCTGTGGTAGAAAAGGTGTTTTTTTTGGTCAAAAGCAGAAAGCCTATTCTGGATGGCAGGTTAGGCATAACTTTCTAAACTAGTTGTATCAGCAGACAAGACATTCTCAACAGTTCTGGTTCGCTTCTTCGATTCGTGTCTCGGTTGTGTTGAAAACCCCACAACTATGCACAAAGCGCGTATAGTCCAGACCTCGAATGAGAAAAAACGGTGTCTTTCTAGCATACAGAGTGCGCCTCGCCACCGGTTTTGATGCAGGACGCGAGCCAAAGACAGAAACAGTCGTTTTTGACATGTAGTCGAGAAATGGGAAGCGGTTGTCCTCGTTTTTCGGTGTTCTGTGGTGTGAATGACGTGGATTTGATCAGAACTCAGTAAGATGAAGGGTAGTCGCTAAAATTATTCCATTTAGAACTGTTCTACGAAACGCAAAGAATTACGCTCCGGAGTTTAGGATATACTAACTAGGAAGTTCATCCACTGTTGTTTGACCAGCATAAAAAAAATAGGAGAAAATTTTCGTATGCGACAAACGGTACATAAA